TAATGGCTACAACAAGCGTTTGACGTCATATCTTCTGTTATTTCAAAATCAAAAAAACGTACCGGCATCCTTCTGTTCGAATTCCTTCTCGGCATTGAACACTACAAGGAGAGGTAAATCGACAAATGTACTGAAAACACACTATCACTGACCAAGAACAGGTAGATGTCGTAAAATGGCCAGTTTCAGTGGTACGAGGTTATCTGGATGTACCTAGAATTGTCTAGTTAGTAAACATAGATTTGAGAAGAAGAAAATTCGATGATTACCCAATACTTTGTCGTCTGGCGTACAAAGGCACTCTGGTTCCCGCCCGCGCTCGAATCACCCTGCACGGGATGACCTCGGGTGCGGACCAGATCGTACAGTTTGGATAACTTGACAATCAAGGCGTCCCAATTGTATTTATAGAGGGTCTTTCTTCAAGATAGTTTCGAATAAACGTAGGTTTGAGCGGAAGGTTCGTTATTTTCTGACGGCGATAATGAAGGATGACACTTGAAGAAATGCAGGGGACGTACATCATGTTTCTATGGAGATGAAGAGTGAGTTAACATAAGGCGAGAGGCACGAATGGATGTACCTTTAGGATTTTGAGAAAACCAGTGATATTCAACTTAGTGTACAGCGCCAAGTCATGAACGTCTGCTACGAGGGTGGCAACTTCTTCTTGAAGGCCGTGAAAAAGGTCTTCGAGTGATGCATCAGATTGGTTATCGTCAATATCGTCGTCGTCGTCGGAACCCTCATCGGGACCATAGTCGGAAGGACGTGCTTGATGCGATTCTGGGTCAGAGCAATGGATGGGGGACGACTCAGAAGGATGATGATTCTTGAGCGACGAGTTTTTGGACATCCTTTTCAGCATCCCTTATGCGGTGAGATAACTCAGCGGTCTGAACAACATCAGCTGAAGCAGAGGAATGAACTAAGTTTTGACGCTTTACCTTCTGTTTCTGGAAATCATGAACTTTGTCGAGCTCTTTTTTCAACATGGTGGTGAAATCACGTTCATCTTTGTCGTCCCAGCTGTGAGAGGTGGTACGAGACTACACGGATAAAGCGGATGAGGATGGGTGGAGCAGTTTGGAGAAGGAGTCACCTTGAGTTCACGCTTCAACAAGTTGTAGTCGATGTAGAAGGGTCTCCACTCATCATAAAGGTTAGTCTGTCAAAGCAAGATTGTCTACTTCGCTTCCCCCCCAATTTGCCATACGCAAAAATAACGCACCGTGATCTTCCTTCCGAACTTCATCGCGTGCCTGTCGACGACTAGGAATAGATAGGAACCCTTCAGAGGAGTGTGTCCTACAAGCCAGTACTCTCACTAACACGAAGCAAGGAAAAGAAGTCCGGGTGTTAACGCGTTAATTAAGGAGAACTCGAAGTATATCGTGCTGAGTCTTAGTCAGCATCATTGGTCCGACTTTCGGTCCGACTGAAAACAATGTCGAGTCTCGAGGCACGAGATAGTCCTACTATACATAGCTATCATAGCGGTTACCCGATGCCAAACATAACATTTTAGACTTTCCAGAAAGAAGTGCATGCATGGCAATCACAAGCGATGGTCAATGAACTCAGCTGTGCATTTAATTATGTGGACCATGTACTGAAAAGCTTGTACACCGGAAGTTCGCAGCGTGGCAAAAAGAAAAAAAATCTGGACGCGAGAGGGTACATCTCTACGGTTTGCCATTGTCTGAATATTTCAATAAATAAGTATCACGACAAGAAGATAAAAACGAATTTTCTCGCTCCCTGCGGAGTTCCCCACATCTTTTGATCCGGCACGTCACACACTACCAGTGCTTGTTTGCACGTGGTCGCGCTCCTGGAAAGCAATCGGACTCATGTTTGTTGCTGCATCAGGGTCATCCTGAGCGTAATATTCTCGAATGCTAAGCATCAAGCGTGGTCCCAGCACAAATAACTGCACGAGCGAGAAAATACTAGCAACACCAGCATAAATCGGAGGTCCTAGGGAATATGGGTCCTATAGAAACGATGAACTGTTTTAGTATATAGAGGTAGAAAAAAATGGCATACCGGCGCTGAGATCGCTGGAGACAAATAACCAAGCTCGAGACAAGAAACAACAATAAAGCTAGTGTTTCAAGATAACATTAATAGAAAAACAAAACACCATCGCAGTGTCAGCTCACCTCGCAAAGTAAATAACATGAGATTTCATTATTACCACGAAACAGTCCCCAATAATCCCTCCAGAAGAATGCCGTCGCAGTTCACGAAAGTGTTTTACAGAAATCCAGACTGCGAGACACAATGCGGCGACCTCCCATGCTGTGGTCAGTATCCAAGTCATGGACTCCAGAACTGTGCTATCTCGCTCTTTGAAGGTGACATTGCACTGATAAGTGCCAGAAAGAATGAGCTCCTCTGGCAATCGACAATGAGTCTGGCGCAGCGGCCTTTCATACATGAATGAACTCACCCCCTGACATATGGCTCGTTACTATTACGGCGAAGACGCAGTCGACGATGTTGACAGCTAGGAAGGCGACAACGAGAAATATCATCACCTTTCTGGATCCCCGATACACGGCACGTAACCGAGCAATCATGAAGACTCGCGTGATATTTCAGTCAAATTGACACGACTAAGATATTGAAGCTCACCACCAAGTATTACAGTTACGACGACATTTATCCAATTTTGTGTGATGGACACAAGAAGACCTGACAAATCCAGGCAGCGATCAGTCTCAGAGGACTACGCGCTCGATACAAACTCACAGCTGTGGCGGTCATTATATTGCATTAACAAGCTAGTCAAAGATCACTCACCCCTACATAGAAGCGCAGTTAGTGAATTGGAATGATAGACATATGTGCAGAATACTCACTACACCCGTCATTGAAATTGTCGGAACATTGACTGTATGCCGCCGATCAGAAGAAACAAACACGGTGTAAGCGTGGAACCATACACAATATGTTGATGCTGAGCGCGAGAGACAGATGATTAGCACAACACGAAATGCTTAACTTTCCAGACATACACAGCAAATAAAATTCCAAAATAGCGCACCTAGGATATTTTCAGGTCAGCACAATTTGTCGACCACAATATAACGCAAGTTACACACACTAAGATACAGAGCGGTCATCATCGACCGTGGTTGCCTCTGCGAATCCATCATATCTGTAAGTTGTTCTTCTGACTTGGGACTCTGCTCACCCAGATCAATTCGACCTATGATACTATTCTCAGCAACATGACTGCTCCGGTAATAGCATCGACTTACCTCTTGTCCAAACGTCAGTGCTGGAAATGCTGTCAGGATATCGGTGGTTCTTTAGTATGATATTACTCACCCCAATCGTATATTACCCCAGCAGAAGAAGCAACTGCGAAACGACATACAAGGTTAGATATCGACATATCGCCATTACCATTTGATTGGCTCCACAAACCTGCAAAGTAGCTATAGACGAGATCCACATTAATGGTCGGCCACCATCTGGGATCATTTGATACTCGGGTCATACTATTGTTCGAGGATGGATGTGAGGGAACGGCAAACTTGGTAGATACGACGCTAGCGTTCGTATTAGATATATCTATGGTTGAAACGAGCATCATAGCATCCTGTTTTCAATGACCGACCTAACCAAGTAGACGTAAGATGCACTGGCAGTCACGAATATTTAAAGGCCACTGGGCCAAAATCTGATTTTCGCAACGTGTCCCAATGCCATTTTTGAGATGAAGTTCTTGTTGTCGGTCGAGGCTCCATCAGTGAAACCATGGAGTTTGTTGATCTACATCAGACCCACGTTTGATGTAACGATCCAACAAGCGTCTCGACAATCTTGCTGGCCCAGGTATCACAGCTTCGATATTTGTCAACAAGGTTAGATTCTGGCCATGCCGCCAGAAAAGCGAAACATTAGGGAGGTCCACACGGAGCAAACAGATGACTCGCCTGTTCGGCCCAGGCTACCAATAAGCGTATCAATGATGGCGTAGGATCGGATGGTGCGGAAGAGTCGGTGCGTTGTACAGCTGATGCGATGGCAAGTGGCGGCCAATGCATCGATTTTCACAGCCTGATATTCATTAAAAACTACACCATGCGTGGTTGATGACCGGTGAATGATCGACACGTTCTCTAGATCAAAACTTCGGACACCTTGCTCCTCGTTGTTCGGATATTGATCGGATATACCAAGACGACCAAAGGAAGCGTTCTTCTAATCGTAGTATCAGGTCACCAGGTGCTCATCACTGGCAACTGTGGGTAACTCTTAAGGTTGACGTGCTCGCATCAGTGATGTTCGCGGGAAGAATATGCATGTCGTGTGACAACCATGTGGGCGCTATTCACAGAAGTCAGTCGCCTATGTAAATCTTTGGATGTGCAATGAGCGCTCCTCCGACTGTGACAGAGCTACTCAATCGCAGCCAACTCGCAGACAGATGAAACCATACGCAGGACCAAACTTCTCTTTCTGGGCACGAGGAGGTGCATTTCTATGTTCCACTAACCTCTCTCCCTTTGTCGGTCCTAACGTACCCCAGGAGCGGAAAGACCTCATATTCCAAGATCTCTTCGAAAATCTCCCCATCAAACAGACTAAGTTCTATCTGGAGCCCACCATGTGCGTTACGAAACATTTTATCGATTGTGTACCCATCTCTGACTTCTGCTGGCGCCCAACGCTGAACATTGTCCCTCAGTACCCAGTACTGTCATCCTGTTGAAGATACGAGACCGCCCCGGAAATATCACTGTCGATACGCTCGGCGCATCCCTCAATGATTTCTTGATAATTTTCTTCATCATAGATACTCGAGTACGTGCACTGCATTTGGCCACCGACCGGCAGCCCTATCGAAATCCATAGGATCTGTACCAACGACCTGTCGTAGAATTCATCGTTGCAGCATGCCAAGTCAACCCGGACGTCAACTTTGAAGTTTTTGTGCACAAAGCGGAAAGACCCGCAGGGTTGGTTCGCTTGTCCCCCATGTATTCATTACTCGCGTAACTGACTTGGCGCTCAGAAAACTTTCGTCAGATACACGGGGCATCATGGACCGCTTCCTGGGTGAATCCCCCGAATTCGATCAAATCACTCTTGATTTTCACCTCACTTCCATATACAACCATCTCCTGCGAGAGGCGTCCTCTTGTGTCCTTCACAAACTGATTGTCTCCCTACCGTATCTAGAAGAACTATTAAATATCTTCCGCCCCGTATGCCTTTTCACCGCCATTGGTCTCTACCGTTTGCAGAACGCCGCCTCACCGAGGACTTTCCTATTCGACACATTAAAATCCACCTTGCAACAAACACCTCACCAGCAGACCAAGTAGCATACGATCTCTGCTGCAACTACCTATCCAGGCTCAACTCGTTCGGACCCCTGTACAGGCACACGCGTGATCCGACTCTCCCACCCTTGAACCATCCCCCAGATCCAACTTCAACGATCCACGGATAAGTCGATTTCCCCCAATACCAACGTCATCACCCACAGCCACCACATCAGCCCCCTCTCCGGCATCATTATAGCCAGAACACCACCACCCGGCATCATACCCTTCCATCAAAACCCAATTTCTTCCTTTCCGCAGCGAGATTAATATTGCTGTCACCTTCACACCCAGGAACTACGGGTACTTACCACATCGTTACGCTGTACCTCGCACTGCTGGCATTGCTTCCTGCGACGGCGTACGATATTCGCAGGGGCTGTGTGGAGTGGGACGTTGTGTGGTTTGGGGAAGGCATCAAGGAGATCCGATGATATGATATGACGCACAATCACAACAATAGTTGCTGAGGACAATCAGCCCACTTTCACCCTTCAAGTACGACTCATTACTACTTTCCTACTGCCTAGATAGATGATATGGGGGTGGGCATGCGTCTGGCCTGTCCCGCTCTTATCCACGACCCTCAGTCATTCAGCAGAAAGGGTTTGCTCGACTCATAGATGCCATCGAAAGGTAGACAGCGCGGAGAAGGGCCATTAGTGATGGGTCCATTCAGCGACTACCTTCCTAGACATGCCTTGAGCCAACCATGTAGGTCCCAAGTCAAACTCTGTCGTATCGCGTCACTGAGAATTTGCTTGATTTAGATAAACTCGAATAAATCCAGCCGCAAAAGAGTGGTAGAAAAATGGTGGATCCGATTCTTTGTACATTTGACAGATCCTCTCTATGAGTACACCTGTCTGCCCTCCCTTCAAGCTTGTGTGTCTAATCGAAGCCTTATCTAGTCTATTCGATCATCCCACTCTTCTGATTCATTCTACGTCCATCTAGTACAGAGTTGGACTCTGTCCACCCAAGCTCCGTATCTTAGTCTTCCCTCCATAAAAGACAACTTCCTGCCATCGATATCCTGTCCCCATCGATACCTAAAATCATTAATTGATGATAATCGCTCCTCATGATCATCCTACATTGATTCGTTCCGTATACCGGTCACACAAGTTGTTTTCCTTATTGGTCGTTCCAACCTCGAATGCATCCCCATTTTCCCGTACTCTCTGATCAAGATTTCATGCTCCTGACATCCCATTCGAGGTTGCCAGTACACTTGGGTCCATCCCTCTGAAATGAACAGACACGACTGAGTCGGTTGCTAGACAATCCGGATACTCTTGTCCAAGTGTTAGGACTGAAAATACCATGAGAATATTAGCGGTTTTCGAACACTGTTCTGCTTACCCCAATCGTATGCCACCACGACGCCGGCGGCAACTGCGGAACCGCAAGTCAATGTTAGATATCTGACCAACTAATATGACGAACCTATCCAATAGCTGAAATAAATATCCGAATTGATTATCGGCCACCAACTGGGATCATTTGAGACTACGGTCATATTCGAGGGATGGGTGTGAACAAGTGGGGGATGTTGGGGGTGTATAACGATCTAGTGTTTGTCCTAGATATATCACCGTTGGTCCGTTCAGCGCTTGTATCGCCAAAATCGGCGCGATGGCGATGAATATTTATGCCCGCCTCAAGGCCCTTGAGATAAATATTTCGATGGGAAATCAAGCCAGAGTAGAAGTCCTCGATTAAATCAAAGTAGATTTTGACTTGCAAGCCAGTATCACGCACGCGAATGAATCATCAGGAAAGTTTCACTTGTTGGTGATAAGTTCATTTCCAGCATGTGTTCTTGTTGCACTGCATAGAAGAGTTCCGTATGAAATCATGTAGTCATCATGATGGATCTAATGTTAGGCCCGGGATGCAGCCAAAACCAGGAAGCCGAAGGCACAACGGGTGTGGGCGCCATTGCACCTCAGGCACACCTAGTTCATATTTCATGTAAGCGAAGGAACGAGCACGTGCGTAAAACGATACCCAAGTTTATGTCAGTTCAAACGTCAAAAATGTTCTTTGCATTCTGGACAACATTAAAATCTATCTTAAATATCTCTAGCGCTGTGTTAGGTAACGATAATGTAAGGTTGAGGTGCTTAAATAAATACCACGACCGGTCCTCAGCCAAATATGTCCTTTATGCAGAACACTCGGCAGACATCTCCCTACACAGTCAATACATGCACACGCTCCTGGAAGACAATCAAATTGATGCTAGTTTCTGCGTCGGAGTTGGCCACGAGCTTAGCGTGATATTCTCGAACACTAAGGATGAGGCGTGGTCCCAGCACAAACATCTGCACGCTAACTAAAATTTGAAGGGCACCGTAGAGTATCTGAGCTCCCATAGAATTTGTATGCTACAAATATGATGAGTAATGTTACGAGTAGATGTCAACGACAGGTCGGCTCACCAAGACCTCCGAAGAGAGAAGACCAAGTTGAATGCAAGAGACACAAACAAAGCTAGGACGTGCGGAACTTGAGCAGAAAAAGATAAGCACATTTACATTACAAACTCACCTTGCAAAATAAAGCACGTGAGATTTTGTTAGCACTCTGAAACAGTCCCCGATTGTCGATCCTGTCGATGGGCCGAATCGTCGCAGGTCACAGAAGTGTTTCGCAGCAATCCAGATCGAAAGACACAGTACGAGGACCTCCCAAACAGTGTTGAGTATCCAAAGTATTGAGATCAGAAGCCGGACATCTCCCTCATATTCAAAATCACATATATACATTCCAGAGAGTATTAGCTCCTCTGGTGTTCGTCCAATGAGTTGTGTTCTTCAAATCAACAAGTAAAGCTCACCCCCCACAGAATGCTTGAGTACTATTGCCATGATTACCCCGCAGGTGATGTTTACAACCAAGAAGATGATAACAAGGAAGATAAGCATCATCCTAGATCTCTGATGCATGGCATGCAACCGAGAAATCATGATGACTTGCATCGTATTTCAGTTGAGTCAATATCACTGAGGTATTGCAGCTCACCGCCCAGCATAGCAGGTATGACCACGTTTGTCCAATTTGTTGTGTAACCTAAAATATCGCCTGAAATACCCAATCAGTGATCACCTCGTACTAGGATCAAACACTGTGACTTACACCTGTGTGGTCATTATGTCCATCCAAGTTCAATGGTCAGAATCTCACTTACCCCTACAAAAGAATGTATCCATTGGATGATGGGAATGAGATAGCTGCGAAATACTCACTGCATCTGTCAGCGAGACCATTGTCATATATGCTGTGTACCGCCGGTCAGAAGAATCGAACACAGCGCATATGAGACATACGCAGAGCGCTGATACTGATGTTGAGAGATGGGCTATTAGTACAATACAAACTTGTTGGACTCAAAAACATACACAGAATATGGTATTACAGTATAGCGTATCTAGAATATTTTGCAGTCAGCACAACTTGCCAACATAGTGTAACATGAAGTACATACAACGAGATACAGTATAGTCATGAGAGACCAGCACTGCCTCTGACAAAATTTTATTGTATTCTGTCGCTTTTCTTCTGATATGAGACTCTGTCACTCACCCAGATCAGTTCAATCTATGACATCATTCTTAGCAAGTTAGCTGCTCCGGCAATAGCACCCACGTACCTCTTGTCCGAATGTCAAGACTGGAAATATCATGAGAATATCAGCGGTTTTCGAACACTATCCTGCTCACCCCAATCGTATACCACCACGACGCCGGCGGCAACTGCAAAACCATAAGTCAATGTTAGATCGACATATCGTCAACTGATACGACGAACCCGACCAATAACTTAAAAACACATTCGAATCAATTGCCGGCCACCAACTGGGATCATTTGAGACCATGGTCATATTCGAGGAATAGGTGTGAGGAAGTTGGGGATGTTGGGGTGTATAATGATCTAGAGTTCGTGTTAGATATACCACCGTTCAGGCTTTCAGCGCCCGTATCGCCGAGGCCCGAAATCGGCATGATGGTGATGAATATTGATGAGCCTGCATCAAGCTGCCCTTGATGAATTGAAGGAAGTATTGCGATGCGAAATCAAGCAAAAGCAGAGGAGCAGTGTACGGTCACCACTTCGCCACCATTCAGCAGCTGCGCGAAAACCAGGTACCATTACCACTGGTATTGTTGTTGGCAAAGCTACCGAGTTTTGCCAACCGGTTCGGCAAAACTGGTTGTGCCCGGTCCTCGGCAGAACTCACGCAAAAGGGGAGTGGCAAAACGTGGTAGAACTCTAGGGCATCCGAGACTCACAGAGATGTAATCTAGATCTCTGATAATATAGTTTGAATTCAAGAGAACATGCAAAACGACATCCCTAAAGTAAGATGGTGCATGTTGGAGGGCGCCCTCTCGGCATCACTGATCAATGACAATTTCGAGTGCCTGGAACAAGTTGACAACAGTGTGGTGACACTGATAACTCATCAGATGCTCGGATCCAAGGTCGAGGCGGCCACGTAGACAACCTTTCTTGGTGGAAAAACCTTCCAATCAATTCCGAAAGCCACCTACTCAAGGCCTTCTCTGTGACAATCCTCTCGATCGTAGGGCATGCAGGTGAAGTAGAGCGCACATTCTCTGATCTCGGCACAATACAATCTGCATGATGGTGTAATCTTTCGGCTGACACATTTGAAACACTTGGCAAAATTCGCGCAAACCTTCGGCTAAGCCTAGCGGTGCAGATGACCTTCTTGCTGATCCGGAGAGTATTTCGCCTGATGACATCGCCACTGAATTTGTAGCTCACTAAGAGCTGAAAATGACTGAAGAAGTCCAGAGCATGAACGAAGTTGAAGTGCTCAAGGGAAATGCTCTTGATGTTGACAAGTTGGATCGGGTCGAACAAGGAATAATAGTACCACAGACTGTTCTAGATGAGGTTGAGGTGGTTAATTACAATGGTGAGGGTAACGGCTGGCAACATCATTAGGAATGTCGTACACATGGTTCAGTACATAACCTAGCTAAGCGCCTAGAGTTTTGCCGGTTATAACCGGCAATACTAAAGCCAAGTAGTTTTTGCTCTCCAGACTACTTGCGGTGCGCTGTCACTGCTTCGCCACCATTCAATATTCACTAGCTGCGCGAAAACCAGGTACTACTACCAGCAGTGTAACATAAGAACCGTACTAATCTACTATAAGTCAGTACTAGTAGTAGTCCGACGGCTTCCGACGGATGGCCGTTTTTGCCAACCAAGCTGAATCAATTTTTTTTTTGACTTGAGCAACTTGACGCCGTAGTCTCGACGTCGAGCGTCATTCAGCACACTATATTATGCACTGAGTACCGAGAAATAATGTTTTTTATCAGTTTGTGTGACGCCTTCCCATCTTCCGAATTCCGCGATAAGAACAACAGGGCTTACTAATCCGACACATTGTTAATCACTCCTGCTAATGCTATGCCTTCAACATGTCACGGTATCTGTAGGCGCTGGAGCCCGGCAGCAGCAAGTCGGATACTCCGAAATATTCTGGAACGCTGCTTCTCCAGTGATCAGTCACGAGTCCACCCACGCCCGTAAGCTGTAAGTTTCGAACGTTAAGTCTGCTATTGATGGAACATGGATAAACCTCGGAGCATGGATAGTCGGACTGGTATCTCGTGGACTCTTCTACCGGTCCGTTAACTCAATGTTCAAACGTTCAACCTTGGCTCCACTACTTAAAGTTATACTAAGGAAGATCATGCAGTGCTGCATATCTCCTTTGCTATGTCTTCTTATCTGAAAGTTTCTGGAACAAAGATCGTCGATGGGGATGGCAAGGAGGTCATCCTCAGGGGAGCAGGTCTCGGAGGATGGATGAAGTAGGTTGTTATACTTCCCGAACGCATTTACGCATCTTGATCTTTCTCCCTCTGATAGCATGGAGAACTTCATTTCTGGATACCCAGGCTGCGAATTCCAGATCCGTACTGCTCTCGCCGAGGTCGTAGGATCTATCAAATCAGAGTTTTTCTTCGACAAGGTGAGTTAATCATTATCTGCAGCATTGTTCCTGCTTCTTATGGGCAAGCCAAGTTCCTGGAGTACTTCTTCCAGGAGGCAGACGCCAAGTTCTTCAAGAGTCTTGGACTCAACTGCATTCGGCTACCCTTCAACTACAGGCACTTCGAAGGTACGCACGTGCCCCGAGTTTTCGTAATTCGTCCGACTTATGGAATCGATCAGATGATCTGAATCCCCGTGTCCTGAAAGAGGAGGGTTTCAAGCACCTTGACCGTGTGATTGACCTCTGTGCCCAGCAAGGCATTTACACCATCCTTGATCTGCATGCTGCTGCAGGCGGTCAAAACACTGCTTGGCATTGTGATGCTGGCACGCACATCGCAAATTTCTGGTTACACAAAGACTTCCAGGATCGCACAATCTGGCTCTGGAAAGAACTTGCTAAGCACTATGCTAACAACAAGTGGATTGCCGGCTATAACCCACTTAACGAACCCACTGACCCCACGCATACCGCTGTGATCAAGTTCTACGATCAAGTCCACGACGCCGTCCGCTCGGTCGACACAGAGCATATCATTTTCTTCGATGGAAACACATTTGCAAGTGACTTCTCACATTTCGGTGATATGCACAAGAAGTGGCAGAACACCGCATACTCGATCCATGGTATACTCTAAGTCACCGTTTTCATGTTTCCATCTTATATAGACTGCAGACTATAGCGGATACGGCTTCCCTGCTAGTCCAGAGGACTACGTCAGCTCCGACGAACAACGACAGAGAATGAAGAAAACCTACGAGAGGAAGAGGGAATGGATGGACCAGCACGGCCTTTGTGTCTGGAATGGCGAATGGGGCCCAGTCTATGCTAGGAGGCAATACGATGGCCCTGCTACAGACGCCATCAATGAGAGACGGTACAAGGTTCTCAAAGACCAGTTGGCCATCTACAATCAGGTACATCAGCACTGAATACTGTCTCTTACTCCTGGCTGACACAATACCAGGATCGTCTGAGCTGGTCGATCTGGTTGTACAAGGACATCGGATTCCAGGGCATGGTTTACGTTTCACAGGAAACTTCGTACATGGTCCTACTGAAGGACTTCCTGGCGAAGAAACATCGTCTTGCTGTGGACGCTTGGGGTGCTGATACCGCTCAAGTCCAGCACATATATCAACCTCTTATCAATCATATCACAGAAGAGATACCGCAGGAGAACCAGAACCTGTATCCGTTCCCAGTCTGGAAACTCTCCGATCGCGTTGGTCGCTTGTCCCGCAGTATACTAGTCACCGAGTATCTTGTCAAGGAATGGGCAGAACATTTCCGTGGAAAGAGTGAGGCAGAGCTGGATGAAATTGCGAAAAGCTTCAAGTTTGAGAATTGTCTGCGCCGTGATGGATTGAACAAGATCTTGATGGATAATGCGCAATCGCGGAGCAGTAGTTGAATTGTAATTGTACAAATAAAAGTGTTCGCTTCGTTTGTACCGCGAGTATGGATCTAGCATATATGATGAAACAATAAAAACAACGCAAGTCAAGCCGCGTCAACCACCGACGGGTCGAGATCAGCACTACTCTTCATGAGATGTGCTCTGAATTAATGTTTCAGCGTCCAGGACGCGACCTTATTCTTCCTCACAAATAGTAGATATCCGATCGATATTCACGTTGAAGCAGGGCCGGCAGCCTAAGCCCAGAGCAAAGCAGACAAGCTGATGATGGAATCGATGGATGCTAGCCACGAACATGGTGAAACCTAGTCTACGTGCTGACTAAGCTGTGGAAAGGGCCAAGAGGCCTAGCTCCTGCCCTTGGGACCCTGATCCAACATGTACAGATAAACAAACCATGTAATAAACAAGATGAACCGCGCAGCGGCAATCGTTTTATTTATGATAAGTCATAACTTATTAACGCAAGTACTGTCAAGCTCTTCCCCGACTAACCACAGCTCTCGAAATCCTCAAAAATGGAATGAAGTGCCACTTTTGCCAACTAATGAACTGGAAGGGTAGAATCCACTAGAGCGAGAAGCACTTGAGCAACGTGCCAAAAAATAGATACCATCGACTGCTTCCTTATTGATGATGTTCCTACTCACATGCACAGGTCAGTTTCTAATTCACAAAAATTGTTGGAAAAACACACTTTTGCAAGATTTTGTACTACAGGTAAAGCAAATTTCTGCGCTCCAAATAAAATAGCAAGGCAAGGCCGGAGGCCCTTCAAACACCACTGCCTTTCGAGCCAGCAGAGAAGATGGCGACTCCAGAAAGACTTGAACAAGTGATTCAGCATGTTGTCCCATGGACTGTGGGCTTGTGACAGATGGAACACCCAATTTTGACACGCATACTTGAGAGCATTGGAAGCTGATTAACTTCATTGCTGTGCTTCATGTGCAAAACCCTCAAAGGCCATCATAGCATGGAATATCTCCATGTCTGGTAGGAAACAGCATTGTGGTAAGGCAGAAGAAGGGTCCTGATACCTTAACATCAGAAACGCTGGGAACATCAAGAAGTCCGGTAAACTCTTGAACTGCTGTATTGCTTGGAAAGCTGCAAGTAAAAGCAATTCTGGGATGATTGCATACTTGCTGACTGCTTCCAAAGTCCTCAAGAATTCCTCCATTGTCACCCAGACAGATGCTGCAGCAGTTGACTGCCATGCTTGACCATGTGGCATGTGCAGCCAGTCTTGGCTGCTCTGGGTCTGCAGCCATTCTCGTCCACTCTGGGTCTTTAGCCAATCTTGCCCACCCTGGGTCTGCAGCCAGTGTTATCCGAGTTGGGTCTTTAGCCAGTCTCGCCCGCCCTGAGTTTGCAGCCACTGTCTCCTGCTCTGGGTTGGCAGCAAATCTTGTTGACTCTGGGTTTGCAGCCACTCTCTCCCACTCTTGTCCCTAAGCCATTCTCGTCCACTCTCAGTCTTCAGCCAGCCTTCTCCATTCAGGGTCTGGAGCAAGTCCTGCTTGTGCTAGGTATGCAGTGAGTCTTGCCCTTGCTGGGTCTGTAACCAGTCTTGCCCCCACTAGGTCTGCAACCAATCTTGCCCCCACTGGGTCTGCAGCCAGTCTTTCCCCCACTGGGTTTGCAGCCAATCTTGCCCTGACTGGGTCTGCAGCCATTCTCTCCTGCTCTGTGTCCCCAGCCAAGATGGCCAAGCCTCAGTCAGCAAGCCTTTCCTCCCCTGGGTTAGCAGCCAGTCTTGGACGCTATGGGCTTTTGGCCAGAACATTTTCCCCTGTGTCTGGAGCCAGTCTTTCCTCCACTGATTCTGCAGCCAGTCTTTTCCCCCTTGGGTCTCCAACCAAGCACATCCATCAAGGGTCTCTAGCCAGGACAGTAAATCTGACTTATAACCTCCCTGAAGCCACTGCAGGGCTATAAGGACTGTGAATGATGTCAGTGGCTCGATGATGAAGGCTAGTTCTTGTTTTAAGCTCTGGGGGTCATGGGGTTTCATAGCCTGACCATGCATCTTCAATTGCAACAGTGTGTCCAACAGGGCCATGCTTTGTGGGATGGCTTGCATCATCAAATGGAGACATGAATGAGCGAGTAGGGAGTGGGGATATCTGATATGTTGTACCTCACAGAGACTGCAGTTCAAAGGGTCGAGAACATAGTCATGGATGGAAGAGTGAAAAATATTCACCAGGAGACTGCTGTCTGTAGGAACATCTATGATTGACCGTAGCTGTGCCAGTACTCTCTTAACATCCTTGCCTTCACCAGGGCCAAGAAGTTCTGAGATTTGAGAAATCAAGAGAGGGTTGGCAAGGGCAGCAATGATAGACAAATATATGTATGCCCATGCAGGGTCACTGCATGTGGCAAGGATATGGTCATATAATTTGTACACCTCTGTTCCTGGTAGCAGCTCACTCGTGAACTCAAGCATGAGCTGAAGTTGATTGCGGGGATCATGGTATCCATCATCAATGAACTTCATCATTGTAGACGCCACAATGAAACATCTTCCTGCTCGACTTGCCAGCTGTGCAAGTTGATTCCTCAATGGCTGTGGAAAATCCAAACATCGGACTTGCAGCTTTCTGAATGAATGCTCAAGGAAGATACAGATGTCATGGTCAATATCTGCACCATCTAAGGAGATGACTGCAACAACTCCTGTCACAGTGGTTTTCACTGGTATATCCTGCACTGGAGCGCACACCTCTTTCTCCTGAATAGCTTCACAGATATGCTCTTCTGAGTGACTCACAAGGAGGATGTGGACCACAGGCAGATCTAGTTCACAAAGTGCCTTGCCAAGTAGGGAGATGAGATCAACGACCTCAGCTTCAGACACACATTTGTCAAGTGCATCAGCAATGAAAATTGAAGGTGGACACTCATGCAATCTAATTTGAAGCTTCTGCAGAGGTCTCAGAAAGAGTCCCTCCATCTGATCACAAAGAGATTTGTTGGGATCTAGAAGAGCAGGATTCTTGTGGATGGCTCTGTTCAAGTCTTCCCAGATGCTGGGAAAATTGCATCCAAGCTGGTATGCAAGTGTCACAAAAAAATATCCAGTCATGCAGTGTTCAGTATGCTTGCATGAGAAAAAGAATGTGCCTGCAAGCCACTTCTTGATCTTCATATGGTTGGTGACTTTCAGACTTCTCATCCTTTCAGCCATGGTAAATACAACAGCAGACTTTCCAACCCCTGCCATGCCATGCAGCCAAATGAGTCAACTTTTCTTTCGGTCATCTAATAATTTGTAGATGAAGTTGAGAAGGTCCACCCACATTCCATCCAAACACTTTGGATGTGGCTGGCATTTGCAGGAGTCATACTTGGCACCCTTAATGGTGACCTGGGACAGACTCTCCTATGTGCCTTCAGATGATCAAGTATCCCCAGGCACTGTGAATAAAGTCAGCCATTGATGTGGTCGATAAAAGATAGAGATACTGACATTGACCATGACTCGTCATCTAATGATGTCAGAAATTGTGATAATGATCTGGAGAAATACTAGTTGGGTTAGACAGTATAGTTAGCAAACATGTGATGAAAACTTCAATGGAAGACACACAATGGTGTTGTTTGAATGATCAAACCCTTGAAATGGACTTTCTGAGGCTGGGGGAGGCTGTAAGAAGTGATGAATTGTCATTCTGGCATGGTGAGTCTGTTGATGGGTGAAGAATAAGCTGCCACTCATAGGGTTGGTCACCCTTGTGTTAGCATGTGGGTATCTATGCTGTGTCTTGGGCATGGTATGTATGTAACATTGCAAATGTGCAGGAGGGCATGAGGCCATGGCAAGTACTAGTTGTTGTTAATGTTTAGTGGCCTTGCTCACAGTACAGGTTGGACAAACTTATCACAGTTATTATTTTTTCATTGGTAGAGTCCCAGGACAGAGTGGCCCCTGCCAAGAACTGGTTTGGTGTATTCAGTTTTGCTTTCAATGCTTGAGATTTAAGATGAATCTTGCAGGTATTATGGATCCAGTGCCATGGAAATTGTAGTGATGCCCAGTTGTGCCAATCCTGATTCCATTGAGAATTTCACCACTAGTCGGGTAGTCAAATGGCAGCACATATGTATCGTGTCGAGTTTCTGGCACAATATTAGAGCAGTAATAGTCTCTCATATTCAGACTGGGAAAGAAAAAACTTGACAGTTGTCCCTCAATTTAACCACTGCTACATTGCAGACATTCAATGTAATCAGAATGTGTGAGATTCGGCCAGTCTACATGAGGTCTTTGCAGACTCAGAAGGCTGGTTGCAGCTGCAGACTCTGCCATGATGACAAAGAGGTTGATCAGAAGGTGCCAAGAAAAGATTCATCTGTCCATTGCATTACCTCACTAGGGCCATTCATTTTGCTACATATATTAATGGCAAATCTTGATATCACCTATTAGCTCCAACACAGCTTCTCACAAGTTCCTCCAGATGATGGAACAGTTGATGAGCATGAGACAAAGAATAAGAGATGGACATACTAACATTGATCCTGGTGACTCAGAGAGAGAGAGGATGTTTAGCCAGAGATAGATCTCACTAGATCAGTTTAGTAGTATATGTATGTCATTGCAATTGCTGGTGATGGTGAAATTCAGTTTAAAGGATGAATGTTTGAAACATACCCATTACCAACAGCCATTGCATCAATATAACCCCACTCTCTGGCACCACTACAGCTGGAACATCACCAAATCATCCCTCATTCTCCTTTCAAAACCCAACTTCTTCCCCTCTGCAACAACATCCCTATCAGCTTCACACCCAGGAACACCGCTCACTTACCACATTGTGATGCTGTACCTCGCACTATTGGTACTACCTCCGACAATGGCACATGAGGTGTGCAGAGGCATGATGGAACAGAGTATTGTGTAGCTTAGGGAGGGTGCTAGGGAGATGTATGGCCTGGTCTGAGGTGGACAGCAGGGGAAGTCATGTGATTTTGTCATACTTGTATGCACAGCTCTTGAAGTCAAGCTTCATGAGTCATGCTATGAATTTAACAGTGATTATATTAAGAGAGGGTTCATGAGGAAGAACATGTCACTCAGGCTGTATGTTGATGTTATAAGTAAATCAGACTGTATAGATGGGACCGGGTGTTGGTTACACTGCATGGAAGCTGAATGGTAATGAGAAGTGGATTCTAACTGAAAGTTGTACATGTTATCTTTGATGATCTCTACTGAGAAAAAAAAAGTGAAGCCAAGCGATTCAATGATCAACCAAAGTGTTAAGAACCATGCTCAATGGAGAGAGAGACTGACTCAGAGGGGCTTGGCCTCAGCTTGTACACTGTGCCCCTTACCTGAGTATGTGCCCTTCATTTCAGAGGAAGTCCGATGATGGTCCGACAAAGTCTGGAGGACTTCCAGAGGCTGGCTACTCTGGTGGAGAGTGCTAGAGGACTTCTGGAGGAGCACAGGAAATGTCTGGAGGAGCACGGGAGAGTTCCAGAGGAATGCAGGAAGTGCTCAGGAGAGTTCCCACTGCAAGGTAGTACTTCTACAGGAAATGGGATGGAAGGGTAGGATGTCTGGAGGTCCAGAAGTATGGAGGACAGGATGTCTGGAGGTCCAGAAGTATGGAGGACAGGAGGACAGGATGTCCAAGGGTTTGGAGGATGGGATGTCTGAAGGTATGGAGGGCGGAACATCCAAAGGACAGGATGCCCGGAGGTATGAGGGACAGGAGGTCTGGAGGTACAGAAGACAGGAGGTCCGGAGGTCTGGAAGGAATAGGGGCTACATTGGACGAAGTCTGATACAGAAGCAAACAGAGGTAGACTACCCTAAGGTAGAGTCGGAGGGACAGGAAGTGGACCTAAGTCCAGAAAGAGGGTAAGTGCCAGAAAGGCAAGACTCCAGTCTAGGGAAGCAATCCCTAGACTTGGGACAGAGACATAGGGGACAAATCCAAAGGTCCGGAATTCTGGCCTAGGGAATCCTTCCCTAGGCCTTATGGAAGGGGACAAGACTCAGATGGACTGAAGTCCGAAAGATGATTGGGCAGATCTAAGGTGATGAACAGGATCTAAGATGATATTCAGACTAAGGACTACTGTAGTTATACAGGGGTTATATACTAGAGGCTATCTGAGAGGATCAGTAAGCAAAGGAGTAAGGCTATGTATGAGCATGTGGAAACACATTGGTAAGTAAGACGGAACATAAGTAAATGAACTCAGAGATGAAGACTTGTACAAGGATCAATCAGCAAGACGGAAACAGAGATAACCGAGAACTGGAAAGGTGGAGATGCCTAAATGAGGATAGGCACAGGATCTTGGATGGAGGGTGGGAATGGTCCAGGGATCTGGGGATCCAGAAGGCAGGGCGGAAACAGGACTGAGATATGTGAGGTGGTGGATATAGTCCGGAATCCAAGAGGAGGTAAAGTCCAGATGTCTTGCTGGACAGAATGTGCATAGGGTGGACAGGATAGGGGATCCAGGAATGAGTCAGATATGGGGTCCGGAAATAGGTCCGGAAAGCGTGGGAATATGATGGGATCTATGTCTGGCATACAGGATATGACACAAAGGATGAGCATCAGGCTTAGTCAGGTGCAAGAATTGAGTGAGCTTGCTCACATGATTGACCTACTGCTTTGAATTAGAGGGGATGATGGAAAGAATAAATTTATGTACCCTGTCTAATGGTCTGGGAGCAAGGAATCTGCAACCAGAAAAAATTAGGATCATCTGGCACTCCAAACACAGTATCAACACACAATGCAAAGGTGGCATGTCATGTTGTATGAATCAGTGGCTCCAGACTGATGACTCAGGAACTGGGAGAAGACGTTCCTATGTACATGGATCAGGTACTGAATTACGAGAATCATTGGAAGTACACACACTTTTGCAAGTTTCTGCCCTTCAGACAAAACAAAGAGGCAGGACCACAGGCCCTTCAAACACCACTGCATTTCGAGCCAGGGGAGGAGACAATGAGTCCAGAAGGCTTTGAACAGATGGTCAAGCTATCATCCCATGGAGTCTGAGCTTGTGAGAGATGGCCAACCCAGTTGTTGCAAGCATACTTGAGAGCATCAGAAGCCAATTGACTTCAGTGCAGTGCATCTTTTGCAAAGTCAACAAATGCTGTCATGGCATGGATGATTTTCATGTCTGGTGGAAAATGACCTTGTGGTAATGCAGAGATGGAACAGTCTTGATGACCTAACACTAGGAATGCTGGAAATATCAAGATGTCTGGCAAGCTCTTGAACTGCTGGATGACTTGAAAAGTAGGCAGTGAATGAAATTCTGAGATGGCAGTATGCTCATTGATTGCTTCCAATGTACTCAAGAAATCTTCTGCAGGAGTCAACTGCCATGCTTGACTATGGAACATCTGCAGCCATTCCTGCCCTCTCTTGGTTTGCAGCCACTCTCACCCACTCTCTGTCTGTAGCCATTCTTGCCTGCTCTCTGTCTGCAGCCAGTTGCACACAGCCTGGGTCTGCAGCCACTCTTGTCCATTCTGGCTCTGCAGCCAGTTGTGCCCATCCTCAATCAGCAGCCAGTCCTGACCACCCTCAGTCTGTAGCCACTCTCTCCCACCTTAACTTTGCAGCCACTCTCTCCCACCTTGATTTTGCAGCCACTCTTGCCCATTCCAGATCTGCAACCACTGTTGCCCAGCCCGGATCTGCAGCCACTTTTTCCTGACCTGTGTATCCAGCCACTTTTGCCCAACCTGGGCCAGTCATTGTCAGCCAATCAGTGTCTGCAGCCAAGGATCCTCTTCATCATCTGGCCAATGATACTCAAAGTCTTGCAGAAAGTCATGGTAGGTATCCTCCAAGTCATTAATATGATGATCATGGTCCCTGGGATCCTCGTCAAAGCAATCTTTGTTATCCCAGCAATCCTTGTTGAAACAATCATCATCAAAATGATTATCATTGTTCCAATGATCCTCACTGTTCCAGTAATTCTCATCATCCCAGAAATCCCCATTGTCCCAATGACTGTCATCAAAGTGATCTTCATTGCTCCAGCAATCCTCATTGTCCCAATGACCATTGTCGAAGTGGACCTCATTGTCTGAGTAGTCTTTGTCAAAGTGAGACTTGATGTCCTGGAGAGTCTCATTGAAGTGATCTTCATCATTCCAGTCATCCTTATCCAAATCAATATCTATGGTCTTGAGATCCTGCAGCCAGTCCAAGCCACTCAAGGTCTACAACCAATCTCCTCCACCTTGGGTCTGCAGCCAGTCTGACCCGCCCATTATCTGCAGCCAACCTTGTCTGCCCATCATCTGCAACCAGTATTTCCCCCTCCAGGTCTGAAGCCAGTCCTTCCCTCCCTGCATCCACAGCCAGTCCATCCCCTCCTGTGCACATAGCCAGTCTCTTCCCCTTTTGTTCTGCAGCCAAAAATGCCTATCTGGCATCTCCAGCCAGCATTGAAAATATGGACTGTGAACTCCCTGAAGCCATAACAGGCCTATAAGAGCTTGCAATGGCCCCAGCAGCTGCACAATGAAGGACAATGACTGCTTTAGGCTCTGTAAGTCATAAGGTGGTATGGCTTGACTCTGCCTCTTCAATTCTGACAGAGCATCCAGCAGGGCTGTGCTTGCTGGAAGGGATCATACTATTAAGTGGAGAGAGGATTGAGCAAGTAGGGAGTGGGGATGTCTGATATATTGTATCTTGGGAAGGTTGCAGTTTGAAGAGTCGGAAATGTAGTCACAAACAGATGAGTGGTAGATGTTAACTGAACTGTTGTCAGTAGGGATATCTATCACAGACCATAGTTGTACCAGTGCTGTCTCAGCATCCTTGCCCTCACCAGGACCTAGAAGTTCCGAGATCTGTTGAATTGGTAGAGGATCTGCAAGAGCAGCAACAATGGACAAGTGTAGATATGCCTGTGTGGGGTCGGTGCAAGTAGCAAGGATACGGTTGTATAACTTGTACACCTCTGTTCCTGGTAGCAGCTCACTCATGAATTTGAGCAGCAGCTGAAATCGATCACAAGGATCATGATATCTGTCATCTATAAACTTCATCATCATAGATGCCACAATGAAACATCTGCCTGCTTGACCTGCCAGCTGGGCAAGTTGGTCTGTTGTTGGCTGCAGGAAAGATGGACATTGAGCTTGCAGCTTTCTGAAGGAATGTTCAAGGATGACATAGATGTCATTGTCAATATCTACACCATCTAATGAGATAATCACAGCCACACCCTCTCCAGAAATTGACTGGTATCTCCCACACCAGTGGGCACATGCCTCTTTCCTGCATGGCATCATGGATATGATCTTTCGAGTGACTCATGAGGAGGATGTGGATCGTGGGAAGATCTGGTTCCCGAAGAGCTCTGCCTAGGAGGAAGATGAGATCAGCAACCTCAGTTTTGGACATGCATTTGTCAAGAGCATCGACAACAAATGCGAAAGGTGGACACCCGCACAGTCTGATTTGAAGCCTTCACAGAGGTTTCAGAAAGAGTCCCTCCATCTGGTTGCAAAGAGATTTATTAGGGTCCAGAAGAGCAGGATTTTGATGAATAGCTCTGTTCAAATCCTCCTGGATGCTAGGAAAATTGCAGGCAAGCTGGTATGCAAGCATCACAAAAAAATATCCAGTCATGGAGTGGTTGGTGTGCTTGCATGAGAAAAAGAACGTGCCCACAAGTCGCATCTCAATATTCATCTGCTCTATCATTTTCAAACTTCGCATCCTTTCAGCTACAGTGAATGTGACTGCAGACTTCCCAACACCTGCCATTTCATGTAACCAAATGAGTCAATTCTTGTCTTTACTGTCTAACAATCCATAGATGTATTTCAGAAGGTCCACACATGTTCTTCCCAAACACTTCAGATGGGGCTGGCATTCACAGGAGTCATACTCAGCACCCTTAACAGAGACTTGGGACAGCCTGTCCCAAGTTCCTTCATGTGAATGAGGATCACCATTGACTATGAAAGAAGACAACAAGTGAGAGATGGAATATTGGAGGATGGAGAGCCAGACATTGATCATAACTCATCAAGAAATGGCTTCACAAACTGAGATGGGTAGTAACAACTCGAGAGTTGGATAAGTCATGGAAAGCCTGACTTGTAACACAATTTTTGGGGTAGTGCAATGGGTAGTCACTGAGTCTGTTTGGCGGTGATGTGCTGTGAAACAAAACACCCATGATGAAGACTATAAAGCCACTTGAGATTTATAAATTTGAAGGGTATGGAAGCTCGCTGAATGGTGGTAGAATGGGTTGAGGGGCGAGTTACTGAGTGTGAGCTGGCTGGAAGAGGACACAAGGCTGCAGTGAGGACTTGTTGACTCATCAATTGACTTGTGGCCTTGCCGCCCACACCATGATAGACTGGCCCACATCTAATTTAATTTCTTGTGGTGGCAAATGAGATCGCCCAATCCTTCATGCACACGCCTCATTTGTTCTCCACCACATACACTCCCAGCAGATCCCAGATCAATTATCAAATATGTTACTTAAGTGTCTGACCAGGCATGCTGAATCACAGATAGCGATGTATGGAAGATATGACACATCTTCCCTCACACGTATCTTAATCGGCTTATACCCATCAATAAGCAACGGGTTTGTATTTCTTCTTCGCATACTGGTTTGCCTGTGACCAAATACGTTATGAACGGCACTGGAAATACTGATCTTTCCCAGTTTTGAGTTCAACGTTCTGGCCATTAGTCTCACACCGTCGGAGAAGCAGAGAAACTCCGGCACCATCACTTCCTAGAATGTCCGGATTTGCGCCCCACTTGAGTCACTGCTTTTGCATATTCGTGACTACCGATAGCTAATTTTATTCAATCGAAGGTCCCCAGTCGACTTTCCATTTCTACTTGGCTTCGTGTGGCAACCTCGCTTCCGTCAATGACGACCTTGATTTTGGTCATAAAAGCTGTGGATGGTGTATATCTAGCACAAACACCATAGTCATACATCCACCTTGGAGTTCGTCCCGCACTCACACCCATTCTCGAACAGCATGACTGTAGTCTCAAATGATCCAAGTTGGTGGCCGTCCATTGAATCAGATCGTATTTTCAGCTATATTATAGGTTCGTCGAGAGCTGGATGGCAACCGTGAAGTCTCGATCTAACATTGGCTGGGGTTTCACAGTTGCTTCCTCAGCTGGGGTGATATATGATTGGGGTGAGCAAGATAATATTTCAGAATTGTTTGTGTCCTTAGTCTCCACAGCACTTACTTTTGGACGAGAGGTAGGTTGATGCAATTACAGGAGCAGCCATCTCACTCAGAATGATTCCTACAGATCGAACTGGTCTGGGTGAGTAAGAACTACTGTGATACAATTATAATTCATCTGTAACAGAGGCAACGTCGCTCCCTCATGACCGTCCTGTATCTGAGTGTATGTAGTTTTTGTCATGTGTGCTTGGCGGGTTGTGCTGACTTGACAATATCCTAGGTGCGCTACTGTTGGAATATTGTATGCTGTGTATGTTTAGCATGCTGAAAATTGTTGTCGTGCTAATCAGTCATCTCTCGCAATCAGCGTCCAGATTCTGGGTACGTCTCCTTATCCACACCAGTGTTCCTTTCCTCTGACAGGCAGTGTACAGCTGATGTCCCGACAATCTCGGGGACAGATACAGTGAGTTCTCTACTACTAATGCTGCAATTCTAATTCAACCAACTGCGCTCCCATGTAGGGGTAAGTGAGATTCTTAACCAACCTCTTGGTTCAACACAATAACTGCCACAGCTGTAAGTTCGTTTTGAAGTCGTGATTCTTTGTGGCTGATCACAAATTGCATTGGTCAGGTTTGATTACGTTCGTTGCAATAATTTGGATGGATTTTGTGGTAAATGTAATACTGGGTGGTGAGTTATGCAGCTGTAATATCTCGGTGATATTTACTTGACTGAAATATTACACAAGCCATCATGATCGCTCGGTTAAATGCCATGTATCAACGATCCAGAAAAGTGCTGATAATTCTCATCACCATCTTCCTGGTTATCTACATCGCCGTCGGAGTGCTCACCGCGATAATAGGAAGGCACAGTTCAGGGGGTAAGCCAAATTATGGACGAATGACACTGGGCTCATTGACAAATACCAGAGGAGCTCATACTTTCTGGCACTCATCTGTGCACTTTTGATGACAGAAGTGGCCTACTTCTGTTCATCACCGCTGGAATACTTGGTAGTACTGTGTGGGAGGTCGTCGCACTGGGTTTTGCAGTCTGGATTGCTGTAAAACACTTCCGTGAATTGCGACGATACTCAGCAGGAGGCTTTGTCGGGGACTGTTTTGCGGTGTTAATGAAAACTCACATTGTTTACTTTTTGAGGTGAGCCCATAATGCCAATGCGGTTCTCTTTGTCCCCTGAAGGTTCGCACATGCCAGCTTTGCTGCTGTGTCTTGCTTCCAGCTCGGTTATCTATCCCACAGGATCGTAGCGGTATGTACATTTGTTGTCAACCTCTGCATGCAAGCACCGTTCATCTTTGCGACTTGATAGGGCCCATATTTCCTGGAATATAAGCTTTATTATTATGTTTCTCAAATTTTCTTGCTCGTGCGATCCTTTGCGCTAGGACCACGTCTGATCCTTTGCGTCCGAGAATATCACGCGACGCTCGTGGCCGACTCTGATGCTGCAACTGGCATGACTTCAATTGCTTTCCAGGAGTACACGCATGTGTCAACAAGCAGTAGTGTATAGCATGGGACGTGCTTGTTATGATTGACTGGTTGTTGGTTACTCTGCAGAGAGCGGGAGATTTTCTTTGGTCACAAGCTTCGTTGTGGTACTTATTCTAATATTTGCGTTGCCTCGTATATTTCTGAAGTATGTTTGAGAGCGGTGGGACTACATCTTGTTACTTGCACTAGCTGCCCATGTGAGTAGGCTACGACTCGGTTACTATTATGACACCCTGCAAAAGTAACCACCATCACATCACCAAAGGAATGAGATTTGAGAAGAGATATTGGTGCGCGTGCTGACCAACGCAATGGCAGAATCGGATTTGGTGAAAGGAATACGAACCATAAGATATAAACCCACCCCATCAGGAAAGCCCTCTGATACAAACCTAGACCAAGTGCAGCAAATTTTTAAAAGTTCGACAAGTTATACCAAGTAATACAGAATAGCACTAGATTCAACAATTCTTTCTAAAATATTGCTGATGCGATATGGCATTATCTAAGAGTTATAAAACTATGTCTATCAATGTAGCAGTTGATGAAGAAGGTATCGCATTCTTCGAGAATATTGTTACTCAATTGTCCAGTGCGGAGGTGCAATCATCAGCGAGTGGTAAGAAGATGAATACTTGAATCCCGTTGAAACTTTAAATTTCTGACACTGGGCTAGCGACAGATTCCTGCAGGCCCTGAGACCCAAATATTGGATCAAAAACACTCCTTTCTAGCTCTTTTACTGCGGTTTTTATCTTTCGTCCATGTATGGACAGGCAGATAATCTCAATAGTAATACAACATGAAAGTAGTTTTCCCAGACCTCATTCTATCCTGTAGATCACTCCGGAACCATGAAACTAATAAACTCTACATGCTCTCTGTACAGTACCGTAGTCGATCATTTTGATCGTGTCCTGTGCTAGACATCCCCGCCAGTCAATGTATCGCCACCAGCCTGGAAATCAAGGGTCGTCATGCGAGTTCCCTCGTCGGACCTAGCCACGAGCTCAGTGTGAAACCCGCGAACACTGAGGATCAGACGTGGTCCCAGCACAAACATCTGCAATGCCTGGGCGATTTGGAGAATACCAATATAAACGACACTTCCCACAGACGATGAGTCCTGTAGAAATGATGATGAGCAGATGGACGCAGATGCTTAGTCGCAGGTTGGTGCACCATGATATTTGCAGACAGTGAGCCCAGGGTGAAGCAAGCTACAGCAGCAAAGCTAACGCATGCGAACTTTAGCGAAACAAAATAACATTGAAATCACCGAACTCACGCTGAAAAATAAAACGAGTGACTTTTAGTTAATGCTGCCTCGATGGTCGATCCTGTCGGAGATTGTCGCAGCTCACGGGAGTTTTTTATGACAACCCAGACTGCAAGAATGAAGGTGAGGATCTCCCATATAGCAGTGGATATCACACTCTCATAGCCCAGATTCATCCGGTATGCATCAGCCGAGGAAAGGCAGATAGGGTAGCCAAAAAGAACGTATTCTTCTGTTATTTGTCCATGAGTCCTAAGTGCTTAAGGGTTTTATCAATAATTAAAGCTTACCCGCTGAAACACCGATGTTTGCCACTACCGTGATAACGCCGGAGGCAATAGTAGAGGCCAGCAAAACCACAACGAGAAAGACGAGCATCTTTTTCGATTGTTCATACATGGCATATATCCGAACCATCATGATGACTTGCATAATATTTTAGTCGAGTTAGTATCAGTAGGGTACCACAGGTGAGCTCACCGCCCAGCATAGCATTGACGACGACAGGCATCCATGTCCATATGAAGTAAAGGTTAAGGCCTGCAAACCGAAATTACGGATGTGACTTGATGGACTCCGTGCTTCAAATGAACTTACAGCTGTTGCAATTGTTATGTTCAACATAATAAGGCTGAGAATATCACTCACTCCTGTGTGGGAGTGCAGTTAGCAAATGAATGAGAATGGGAGGCATCGGTGCAGAACACCCACTACGTCTGTTATCGAGACTGGGAGGAACCCTGCATGCTGCCAGTTAGAATAAACGAGCGTGGTGTATTTGGGGACACGTACACAGT